AATTCTTAAAAACCAGCCATTGAAGATCCTGCCGAGCACAGTTCTACTCTGGCACACATGGAGTCATTAGGATGTGAATTGATTCAACACAAAAGGTTTCATTTTTGTGTAGCTGGATAACTTCTCCCTGAGAACAGGCATAAACTGTGACTCTGGTCTCACCAACAGAAAATGTCAAAGGGGACAGGATGTCAGCTGTGTTACAAGATTATGTTATACAGTAAAGATGAAGGGATTCTGTAGATGTAATTTTTTGCTGTTGTTGTTATTGTTTTGTGCCATTGAGTCACTTGCGACTCATAGCGACCCTATGTACAACAGCCCTAAGCCCTGCTCTATCCTGTGCCAATCGCACTGCCTCTGACACACCCATCCCGATTACCCCAGTCAGACTCAATCCACCTCATAGAGGGTCTTCCCCTCTTTCGCTGTCCCTCCACCCTCCCAAGCGTGATGTCCCTTTCCAAGGACCTGTCCCTCCTTTCAACATACCCAAAGTATGTCAGATGAAGCCCCAGAATCCTTGCCTCCAAGGAGTAGCTTGGTTTAACCCTCTCCAGGATGAATCTGTTTGCTTTCTTGGCAGTCCAGGGTACATTCAGTACTCTTCTCCAGCACCACAGCTCAAAGGCATCAATTCTCCTTCTGTCCTCCCTAGTCATTGTCCAACTCTCTGATGCATAACAAGTGATTGCAAAGACCATGGACTGTATCAGGCGAACTTTAGTCTCCAGAGAGGCACCGTTGCTCTTGGGTACTTTAGAGAGGTCCCTAACAGCAGACTTTCCCATCGCAATATGTTATTTTATTTCGTGGCTGCTGGTGCCAAGAGTGTTGACTGTGGAGCCGAGCAAACTGAAAATGTGAACAATCTCAATCTCTTCGCCATCCATCCTGATGCTACCAATTGGTCCAGTGGTGAGAATCTTTGTCTTCTTGACATTGAGCCTCAGTCCATACTGAAGGCTGCAGTCCTTGACCCTCTGCAGCAAGTACATGAGGTCCTCCTCAGTTTCAGCAAGCAGGGTTGTAGCATCTGCATAATACAGATTGTTAATAGATCTTCCACCAATCCTGATGCCACAATTCTCCTCATACAGTCCAGCCTCCCGGATAATCTGCTCTGCATACAGGTTGAAAAGGTATGCAGGTAGGACACATCCCTGGCGTACACCCTTCCCAGTTTTGAACCATGCAGTGTTCCCTTGCTCTGTTCTGACGACTGCCTCCTGGTCCAAGTATAGGTTTCGCATTAGCACGATTAAATGTTCTGGGATTCCCATTCTTCTCAGAGTCAGCCACAATTTGTTATGATCCACACAGTCAAACGCCTTTGCATAATCAATGAAACACAGACATTCTTCTGGTATTCCTTACTTTCAGCTAAGATCCATCTAACATCAGCTGTTGTTGTTGTTGTTAAGTGCCGTCGAGTCGCAGGTGACTCATAACAACCCTATGAAGGAGAGTCCTCGATGCTTGGGTGTCTTTCATCCTCTGTCCAGGTTCACAGGGTTTCCGGAGGCAAGCTATTATGGAAGTGGATGCCACTCCTTCTTCCACGCTAGTCTTCATCAAAATCTGAAAGAGAAGTCAGCCATTTCATATCCCCACAGTGTCTCCTTTTGAGGCTTTTTCCTTTTCTCCTATAAAATTTCCTACATGTCTACCCCTTGTTCCAAATAACATGTCATCCATTTTGCTTCCAGGATGGAACAGGTGGAACAGAGCAAGATGCCCAGAAAGCAAAAAGCTGGTTTGTGGTTCTACATAAATGAAAATGCCTTTCTTTCTCTACCATACCAACACGGAAAGCTGGACATAAAGAATTAGTCCACCAGTGTCTTTTCTTATGAAATTAATATAAGTAGTCCGTGATTAACTTTGTTCCCTTAAGTTGCTGCTGGTTACTTCAAACTATCTATCACTTCACTTTGCAATGAAGCAATCAGGGCATTACCTGAACCTGAACTAAACAAATGAGAAAGGGCAGCGTGAGAGAGTGTGCTCCTGAAGGAACAGCACTGTTTGTATTCTATATATTTCCCAGGGTTCCTAGCTACGTGTTTTTACACATTGTAAGCCCTCAATAAATGTTTATGAAATTGAATTCAAGATGGGTGAGGCAGATTCACAGTGTAAAGGAAAAGGGAGGCTCATCCCTTAATTACCTTTTATTTCTGCTTATCACCACCTACCCTCCTGCTGCATCTCTACCCGCCCCAAATGTTAGTTCTGAAACAGCCACAGGGGGGGGGTGGGGGTGGGGGGGGTGTTCTAAAAATAATGCAAAAGAACATTTTTTACAATGTTACATAAAATTATGTGGTTTATGCCTCTATTGCTACAGTAATTTGTAGTTTCTGCTTCCTAAATATGTACTGGTAACATTAATTATTAGCACCAAGGAAATGCCATTTATTTTTAAAGTCCAGGGTTCTCTGGATTTCTAAATCAATATTTTCACACTCTGAAAGGGAAAAACACAAACAGAAAGCACTGCTGGTCCCTTAAATTATTCACTTTCAGTACTTCCTAACTGTCACAAATAGTATTTAAATTCAACAGAAAACTTAATCAATTTGAGTTTCTCAGGTCTGTTAATTTAGCCCATTCTTGTCTTGAGAAAGTCTTAAAATCTGACATCTGTTGTTGTTATATGCCACTGAGTAGAAACCAACTCTCCGGCCAGTTTTCAGAGGCTGTAAACCACACAGGAAGAGACTATCCATCTTTCTCCAGTGGAGCATCTGGTGGATTTGAACTGCCTACCTTTGGGTTGGCAGCACAATTCCTTATTCACTGGGCCACTAGAGCTCCCTTACCTTGCACCTAGTAGTTTTAAATCCTTGCAACAAGTATTTGAAAATGTTTGTTGAAAGGAAATGAATCATGAAGAGCTTGCACCAGAGTTTGGATCCCTCTGGGTTAGGTATCAGTACTAAGTATCAACACAACTAACCAAGTAATCCATGTTTTCAGACCAACAAAGTTTCCACAAGATTCCATCATATATGTATTAATTTTCCCTCACTAAGTGCTCCCAGTGTAACCTGTACTTCTCCACAGTGGAACTTACCATTTTGCTTATTATTTTTATGTGTCATCCCTAATCTATAAGCTTCCTTGAGGGTGAGATCACACCTGCTTTGTTCATCACTGTATGGCCAGTAAGTACCATGTATGGCACATATAAGGCCTCAATAAAATTTGAGTGGCTGACTAATAAAGGTAATCGCAATAGTAACAGCATCTAACATTGATGTCAATTTAACATGTGCTAAGGGAGTCCTGTTAATAAAGTGTGTAACATGTCGGGCTGATAACTAGAGCGTTGCCTGTTTGAATCCAGCCACTGCTCCATGGGAGAAAGATGAGCAGTCTATTCACATAAAGATTTCCAGCTGTAGAGACCGGAAGGACAGTTGCTATGAATCAGACTTAACACGGTGGATTTAGTTCTATTTTATTATCATATGCCAGGTACTAAGTCTTTTTACATATGTTAATTCAATTAATCCACATAGTAACGATACTTATAATTATCTCCAATGTACAAATAAAGAAACAGGCACAGAGAGATTAAATAACATCTCTGCCACAGACTGAATTGTGTATCACAAAAATACATGTAATGATATCAAGTGGAAACTATGTAATGATCTCCTATGATCTGATAAACCAAACAGTTGTAAAAGGATTTAGGATGGAATGAAACACTCTTTCATCCCATGATAGCCCTAAGCAGAGATAAGAGGAGTTGTCCCAGGGTGAAGCCTGTAGCACCTTTTAACTCAATAAAAATAAAAAAGGAGGAAAGTAAGCCAAGGGGAAGCCTCGCTACCATCAAGAAGGAGGAGTGTCTTTTTGGACCTGGGTTCCCTGACACATGGGAAGGCCAAAACAAACAGAGTTCTCCAGGGACCCTAGGCCTACAAGTGCTTAAGGAAACAAGGACTTTATGCCAAAACCAATAGGGAGAGAGAGAGAGAGAGAGGGCCTGTCCCTAAAGGTGGCACCCTACCTTGAGGGCATCTAGCTTCCTAAATGGCAAAAGAACAAATTTCTCTTTACTAAAGCCATCCACTTGTGGTATCTCCATGGCAGCAGCAATAAGAAATTAAGACAATCTTCAAGGTTATTCAGCCACTAAGTCACCAAGTCAGGACCTGAATCCAGTGAACTCTAAGACCTAGGTTCTTAACCACTTCTACATGTTGTCTCTTATTGACAAATTATTCCACACAAATGTTACTGTCTATGAAAACCTTCCATGACCACTCAAACTGAGTTAGATGTTTTCTTTGGTATCTCATGATAAGCACTTACATCATGGCTTTTATCATGCTGTACTATATGCTATAGAGAGCTCTGGTTGCCTAGTGGTAAGGAGCTGTGTATCAACCCAAAGTAAGGTGGTTCAAATCTACCAGCTGCCCCACAGGAGATAGATGGGCATTCCTCTCCCCTATGATTTGCTGCCTCTGAAAACCCACCAGAGGGTCAACTAGGAGTCAGTCCCAACTTAACAGCACATAACAACAACTATATACTGTAGTCTATTTCCATTATTCCATAAGCTACTTGAGAAAAGTAACTTTAATTTAGTCTTAATTTTCTTTGTATTAATGTCTAAGCAGTTGCCTGATTCAACTTTAACTCATGGTGCCTCTATGTATGGCAGAGAAAAACTGCTCCATAAGGTTTTCAATAGCTGATTTTAAAAAAAAATCAAAACACCAAAACCCAAAAGGTATATCACTAGGTGTCCCTCTAAAACACTTCAGAGTAAACTCAAACCTTCAGCCTTTCACCTAGGAGTCAAAGGTGTTAATCCTTTTGTCCCACCTAGAGACCCAATCCACAGGGCCCTTCACAGAACATTCACATATATTCTCAGTGCCCATTACATAAATACTCAAAGCATAAATCTTCATTTTCAGATAATCCAGCAGGTGGCAGACAAAGACAGCAGTGGAACAGAGGTCAGCCTGTCTTACCTCTCACCCGGGTCACTTTCTTCATGACAGTCTGCTGATCGTGGTACACAGTCACCATCACTGTGGCTCCCGGTAGGCCAAAGCCCCAGATCACTGCCCCAGCAGGCTCCTTCTGCAGTACCATGTTATTATCGATGTATGACGCAAAGCGAAAATCAACACCTAAAATATTTAGCACACGTTTAGAAGGACATCTTCAGGAAAGTAATCACCAACTGATCAGGGTATAACTGCAATGAGCATACAGGTTTTATACAAGAGAATTCTAGAATTATCAGTTTTTTAACCACCTAAAACTAGATCTTATTCTTCTTCCTAATTAGGGAAGCAATATAACAAGAACAGTTTCCAACAACACACGTCCTAGGATAATATAAGGAAAACTCACAGAACGCTCCTCCTCCCCTTTAGTGCGCTTGACTTTACTCTCAGACTTGGCCCAAGATGCTTGGCGCTCTCCCCCTAAGACACTAAAAGCGCTCCTTTTGCATACTTCACAGATGGTGTTTGGGGGGTGGGGAGAAGCCACCTTCTTCTTCCCGGATTTTTCATTACCACTCCTGCTCTTCTCCTGCTGAGGAAAAAAGCATGCCTCTCGCAAATACAGCTTTCTCTCTCTCCTTTCCCACTCTCTCCTTTCCCACTCTATTTCCTCCCCAACCTCCCAGCATCCATTTCCCTCACATAATTCCCCTTGTTCTCATAATTCAATGCAAATTCTAAATAAATAAGAATACAATTTCACTTCCTTCTAAGATAAACTCAGATGAACTATAAGACACAAAAATAAGAACAGAGGCAGGTAAAAAAAAAAAAAAGTCAACAAACCAGCCAAAAGTTATTTGTCCCATTTTACTGACTTAAGCTAAACTATATAAAAAGAGAAAGAATTACATGTTCTGTTTTAGAGATTCACTAGCAATATCAAATAAGAACTGATTTTAACAAGACCATTCCCATTTTTATTATTTGAACTATTATCTTAATAATTTAGTAAGCATTGATCTAAATTATCTAAATTATCTCTGTGTGTTCCTCAACAAAAGGCAAAAATGAAAGCTTTTTAAATTCTACCCCAACATGCTAAGCAAATAAATTCTTAAGAGAAAATAATCAAAGACTTTTATTTTTAAGTTTTATTTAAAAAGTATTGGGAAAGAGAATAAGAATTACCAAGGTTGACATTTTCCTCCCCTAAGGCTACAAATAATGATGGTTCTACAGTGCATACTTAACAAGGCAGAGTTAATGAAGGTTCCTACACAAACTGGCTCAGTGGCCTATTTATTCTGCTTTTCGAATATCAGCACTGTCCCTAAAAATCTTCAGCTGTCCCTTAAGGTGCCATTTCTATAATGAAACTACATGACAATCGAAGATTACCCAGAAGAAGTACTGGGCTAGAGTCATCCAGCTACCATGAACCAGCTACCATCCAGCTACCAAGAAGTGGCTTTAAGGCCCACATAGTTTGGACTTCTTATTAAAAGAGATGAGTCCTGGAGAAGAATATGATAGGTACATGGTAGAACTGCCTAAGAACGCTGACAGCCTAAGAGAAATATGGAGAGGAATGTATATGTTACAGTAGGTGTTTAATAGGAAACAAAGGTTTATAAAAGCTGAATGAGTTCAGGGAAGAGAACAGAGTGAGGAAATCTGGCATATAAACCTAGAGTCCCTGCACCAGAAGAGTTCTAGACATGTGCAGCCAGCATCCTGCGGCCCACAGGATGAAGGAAAATATGCCTCCAGGTCATGGTTACAGCCAAACAACACTTAACTGAAGTAGTGTCTGTATTGTAAGGTATAATATTTTAGAGATGGAAAACATCTTTCACCCACTCTAGCATTATCTTTGTGATTTACTGATGAAGAGACTGAGATCCAAGAACATTAAACAGTTAATTTGCTAATTAATTGAACAAATATTTATTGAAGCTAACTTTATGCGAGGCATTAGTTGAAGTATGTGGCTTTAACAATGTGAAGAGATAAGGAGGGAGACAAAAGTCCTTGCCAGCAGGAGCCTTACACCCTACTAAGTGTGCACATTGTTGTTGTTGTTGTTGTTATGTGCCCTTGAGTCGCCTGTGACTCATAGCAACCCTATGTACAGCAGCCCTAAACTCCCCTCTGTCCTGTGCCAATCGCACTGTCTCCGACACTCCCATCCCAATTATCCCAATCACTGAATCAATCCACCTCATAGAGGGCCTTCCTCTCCTGCACTGTCCCTCCACCCTCCCAAGCATGATGTCCCTCTCCAAGAACCGGTCTCTCCTCACAACATGTCCAAAGTATGTTAGATGGAGCCTCAGAATCCTTGCCTCCAAGGAGCCACCCGGTTTAACCCTTTCCAGGACAAATCTGTTTGTTTTCCTAGCAGTCCATGGTATTCTCAATACTCTTCTCCAGCACCATAGCTCAAAGGCATCAATTCTCCTTCTATCCTCCTTGGTCATTGTCCAACTCTCTGATGCATAACAGGTGATTGCGAAGACCATAGCCTGTATCAGACGTACCTTAGTCTCCAAAGAGACACCATTGCTCTTCAGCACTTTGGAGAGGTCCCTAACAGCAGACTTTCCCATGGCAATGTGCCTTTTAATTTCCTGGCTGCTGGTGCCAAGACTGTTGACTATGGAGCCAAGCAAACTAAAGCTGTGTACAATCTCAATCTCTTCACCATCCATCTTGATGCTGCCAATTGGTCCAGTGGTGAGAATCTTTGTCTTCTTGACATTGAGCCTCAATCCATATTGTAGGCTGCAGTCCTTGACACTCTGCAGCAGGCACTTCGGGTCCTCTTCAGTTTCAGGAAGCAGGGTTGTGTCATCCGCATAACGCAGATTGTTGATAAATCGTCCACCAATCTTGACCCCACATTTCTCCTCATAGAGCCCAGCCTCCAAGATAATCTATTCTGCATATAGGTTGAAAGGGTATGGAGATAGAATGCATCCCTGGCATACGCCCTTCCCAATTTTGAACCATGCAGTGTTCCCTTGCTCTGTTCTGACGACTGCCTCCTGGTCCAAGTATAAGTTTCGCATTAGAACGATCAAGTGTTCTGGGATTCCCATTCTTCTCAGAGTCAGCCATAGTTTGTTATGATCTACACAGTCAAATGCCTTTGCATAGTCAATGAAACACAGATAGACATTCACATAGCAGATACAAATAATAAATAGATTACTATTGTCATCTGTGGGGCTTTCTTGGGCTGATTTTTACAAGATCATTAGGCCTTCCTGGTTTCATCTCCCTATAAAAGTACTGCTGAAACCTACTCAAAACCATAACAACGCATAAGCTTCCAACTGACAGACAGCAGGTGGTTGCACATGAGATGGACTGACCAGGGAGCTAATCCAAATCTCCTGCACAGAAGGTGAGAATTCTACACTAAACCACTAATTTTTGGAACATTAAACTTAATCCCATTGCTCTAACATCACACAGGCAGGTAGTGATACCAGTCATTTGGAATTAGACGACCATATGGTTTACTGTGCCAGAAAAGACAAATTGAAGAGATACGGTATTGCATTCATCCTGAAAAAGGTCATTTCATGATCTATCCTAAAGTGCAATGCTGTAGTGACAGTATAATATCCACACTCCTACAAGGAAGGTGAATTAATAATGACTATCATTTATATCTACTCAACTGCCACTAATGCCAAAGATGAAAAAATTAAAGATTTTTACTAACTTCTGCAGTATGAAATTGCTCAAACATGCAATGGTAATTATTGGTGATTGCAATATGAAAGCTGGGAAGGATGCAGTCAGAAAATATGGCCTTGGCACTTGAAACAAAAATAGAGATGGCACATACCTTTTTTTTTTTTTTCAGAAACATTAACATTGACTGCAGATGATAACAAATTATGGCTAACATTGAGAAGACTGGGAATCCCAGAATGCTCATATGAAACATAAACCTAGACGAAGCAGCTGTTGTCCGAATGAAACAAGGGAATACTGTGTGGTTTAAAATTAATAAAGGTGTCCACCACAGTTGTATCCTTTTTTCATACCTATTTAACCTATATTCTGAGCATATTATTCAAAAAGCTGGATTCTATAAAGAAGAGGTGGCACTGGAGGAGAAGTCATCAACAACCTATGCAGATAACACAATCTTGTTTGCTGAAAGAGGACTTGAAACACTACAGAATGCCAATGACTAAAGCCTTCAATATAGACTGCATTTCAACATTAAGAAGACAAAAATCCTTACCAGTGCACCGAAAAGTAACATCATGATAGATGAAGAAAAGCTTCAAATTGTCAACAATTTCATCTTACTTGGATCCACATCAACATCCTTAGTACTAGGAGTTAGGAGATCAAGAGATGATAATACTGCTGTCATGGATCTCTCCAAAGTCTTGAAGAGCAATGATGTCAGTCTGAGGACTAAGGTGCACCTGATTCAGCCCATGGTCTTTTAAATCACTTGCTATGCATCTGAGAGCTGGACAGTGAATGATTAAGGATGTTGTTGTTGTTGTTGTTGTTGTTATGTGCCGTCGAGTCGTTTCTGACTCATAGCGACCCTATGCACAACAGCTCTAAACCCTGCTCTACCCTGTGCCAACCGCACCGCCAGAAAAATAAATGTTTTCTGTTGTGGTGTTGGAGAAGAAAACTGAATATTCCATGGACTATCAAAAGAACAAACAGACATGTATTGGAGAAGGTGCAATCAAAGTGCTCTGTGGAGATTAAGGATGGTAAACTTCCTTTCACATATCTTGGTCATGTTGCTAGGAGAGGCTATTCCTTGGAAAGGAACATAATGCTTGGAAAGCTGGAGGATCAGTAAAAGAGAGGAAGACCCTCAAGAAGATGAATTGACACAGTCACTGAAGTAATGAGCTCAAGTGTGTCAGAGATGATGAGGATGGCATTGATAGGACGAGGTTATTCACAGGATTGCTATGAGCTACACTTAACAGCACCTAAGAACAACACCCATGTTCACTTCATTAGAGATACATATTTATGCTCATTCTAAAGAAAGATTATCTCATAGAATATGGAAAATGTGAAACTATATCACACACAAGTAGAAATTTTACTGAAGATATTTTAAAAATACTTGAAGCAGTGCATCAGGGAATGAACAGAAATCCAAGCCAGATTCAGAAGAGTACATGCAACAAAAGGTATCACTGCTGTCGTCATATAGATCTTGAAGAGAAGCACAGATTGCCAGAAAGATGTTTACCTGCATTTAATCGACTTTGCAAAGGCATTTGACTGTGAGGATCATAAGATATTATAGATATCTACGAAAAAAAAAAGGAATTTCAGAATATTTCACTCTATTCATGTGGAATCTATACATAGACCAAGAGACAGGTTAAAAGTATAAAATGATACTGTATGTTTTAAAATCAGGAAAAGTATGTGTTCATGTTGTATCCTTTCACCATTCTGGTCAATCTATATGCTGAGCAAATAATCTGAGAAACCGGACTATATAAAGAAGAACACTATATGAAGAACACTAACCCCCTCTGATATGCAGATGACATATCCTCGCTCGCTTAAAGTGAAGAGGATTTGAGGCACTTACTGAAGCTCAAAGACAATATATAGTCTTTGGTATGATTTACACCTCAATATAAAGAAAACAAAAAAATTTTTAACAAAAAATCTTTTTAATTGGATCAATAAGGAACATCATGACAAATGTAGAAAAGCCTAAAGTTGTCAAAGATTTCATTTTACTTAGTTCCACAACCAACCTCCATGAAGTAGAAGTCAAGAAATCTAAAAACATATTACATTTAGGCAAATATATTCCAAAATATACTGACTACAGATTATGCCACCAGAGCTCCCTATCATTAAAACTGGGCTGAGGAAATGAGCACACAATTTACCTCTGGTGAGGAGATAGTGGGTGAGCTTGTGGGGGAACATTCAGGGAGTCTCAGTTAAAGTTGGCAATGCCCTAGTTCCTAAACCAGGAGTTGCATTCATTTTATTGGTTTATCATACATACTTTTGTACATATCAATAATACATGCTAAAAATGGGCACAGGAAAAGGACTTGAAGTCAGCAGATGCAACCAAAGGGAGAGGAAAAATTTAAAGCATTAATGAATTAAATTAGAAAATGAATAATTGTTATTAAAGTTAACAATTTACCCTGGTTACTTTCTCCTATTTTATATAATATCACTGCATAGTTAGATGAGGGTCAGAAAATAAAAACGCAGGGTGCTGCTGAAAGCTCTTAAAAATATCTTATGAGTTGCACTATGTCTGAAATTGGGCTACTTACGGGTGGAGGGGATCTAGGTAGAACATAACGAGTTCTTTTTCTGCACTCTATTCTCCCATTTCATCTTTTATTTCTTTGGAATCCATTCTTAGAGTGGTCTGGGGGTGGGGGAACTCCAGGTCTAGTATAACCATTTTACTTTGCAATAACAGATTCCATCTTCTGGAATTCCATGCCTGTGGCTCCAGTCCGGTATGTCTTTCGTGAGAAGACGGGCATTCAAACGAAAGGTTCTGACCTCGAAAGCACCCTCCTTTCCAACGTCAGGTGTATTTTTTCCACCACCAATATTTCTACCTGCACCAGAAATCAAAGCTGAGCCTTAAATATTCTAAGCCAGTGAGGGGGTTGTGTTTCTTAGCCGTAACCACCACTTAAAACTAGTAAAATGTAATTCCTCCAAGAAACACAGCCTGAAGCAAACCCTCCCCAAGGGCACCACTGAGTGGGCAGCATTGAACTGTTTTGGATGATTCAGTCACCTGTTTCCAAATATCATCTAACTAGCTTCGCCCCCTTCCCTCCCAGCTCCCAGCAGACCCTAGAGCCTCGGTCTGGGCATACAGGGGCCTCCATCCAGACAAACCCACCTCTCCCCTTGCCCTGGAAACACTTCATCAAAGCAATTGCAACCGACTAGCTTGAGGGAGGCTGAAGAGAATGGAGGGTGGGTGCTCGGCTCAACAGGGAACCTGCTAAGTTTGAGGGCAAGGGTCGGGGTCCTGCATCCCAGAGCCTGGGCGGCAGAGGGGCAGGGGTCTGGTCTGGCCGCCTCACCTGCACTTCTGCTGACCCAAACCATTAAAGGCACCACCAGCCCCAGAACTATCCCCCGCGTGGCCATGGCGGGTCACCAGAAGAAGCGGACTGCGGAAGCTGACGCTAAGCAGGGACGGAGGCCCCACGGGGCGGGCCCGGGACCTAGGGGCCCCAACTCCACCCTCGCGGGCCAGGAATCCGCGGAGCTCCGCGGCCGCAGGGCAGACTCGCCCTCTTCCCCTCTCGGCCGCCGTAGTGTGTGTGTGTGTGTGGGGGGGAAACACGGTTACCCAGCAACGCGTGAAAACAACCGGAACCATCGGCCGCAGCTCTGAGCTAAGGAGAGGTGAGGCGCCTCCCAACTCCTCTCCAAAACTCTGCTTTTTTTCCAAATCCCGGTGCTCTGACCGAACCCTGTTCACACCTCGGCGTCCTGGAGCACGTTGGTAGCCGAGGCCCGAGTCTAAGGTCCGAAGTCGTCAACGCCCGGCCGCGGACGAGATTGTGTCCCCTCCGTCCACCTCCCGCCCTGTTCACTTCCGAGCCTGTGGCGTTTTACACGGTGGCTGTCCTAGAGGGCGGAGGCCTGGGGACAGGGCCGCTTAGAGCCAGGGTCTGGGGTCGCTGAAGAAGGACATGCTCGGAAGTGTGGAGGGAGGGCCTGTGGGGACAGAAAGACCTCGGAGACGGCGACCGCAGCGGGGGGCTCGAAGGCGGTGGGGCTCAGAGGACGGCGCAGGTTGGGGCGAGGTTTCCCTCTGGTGTCAGCAGGGTGGCTCTGAACTCCGCGGGACAGCACCCAGCGACGACAAACAGATTTAGAACCCCTTCTCCAGCCCCTTTAAATAACCGTTCCCTGTTAGCCACAGACACACCACGTCCCTAAGTGTGCTTCCACACTCAGTACCTCGCCCATTGGGACCTCTGCGGGGCTAATCTGCAGGGAGAAGTGCTGCTTACTCTAAGGGGGCGCCTCTCTCGAGTCCGGCAGACGCTCCGCAGGTGGGCAGTCTCCTCGCAAGCAGTTTACAGCCTCGCTGAAGAGTGGGCTAGGAGGCAGTTCCCCTCCACGGCTGTTCTTAGTTTGAGCCTAACCAACAGTTTGGCAATTACCCTTAATTCATTTATCCCTTATGTTCCAAGACAAAGGAGGTCTGGTCAAGACAAACCCAAAATAAAAAAGCCCTGAAAGCTTTAATAGATTTTCAAAATTATGACCTTACTTCCTGCTCCCATTTCAGAGTAAATAGATGCAATGCTTCCAAAACAGAAACTAAAGGGAAAGATTAAGTATGATACTTATTCATTCAGCAATTTAGAGGAATTTCTGTTGTTAATTTCTAGAACTGACTAATCCGTGCATTTAAAATTGCTTTTGTATGGGCCATTGGTTGGTTTAGTCAGAACCATCTGTCTGATTTCCTAAATGGGGTCTTCCCAGAAATTTATAATGAATTTCACTTAATCTTCATTCTTTTAATCCTGTGAGATATCAAAAATATCTCTAATAAAAAGAAAGTCAGAGGGTCAAAAAGAGAAAATGTTATTTACTGTGATAGTGAAAAACTGAGGGTTTCTTAATTTTAAAAAATGTGTATTTGGCCTAATGAGTCTGTATTTGTAATGTTCTAATTAAGGGTGGTATGGTGGCCTAGTGGTAGAGAGCTATACTGCCATCCCAAAGGCATGTGATTTGAATCCCCCAGCTGCTCCATAGGAGAAAGATGGACATTCTCCTCCTCTGTAATTTACAGTCTCTGAAAACCCCCTGGAGGGTCTTCTGTGGGTCCGTTCCAACTCAACAGTAAACAACAATCCTAATTAAGTAATGGAGAATTCAGAACTTTTTGGAATAAATAGATGAACTTAGATTGGGGGGGAAGAAATGAACTTTATAGAATATGAGTTTCAGAAATCATTTGCTGTCGTAGTTGTGATTATGTAAGTAAACTAAGGCATATTTAAAGATGGTACTCTTTAATGAATCTCCAGGTACATAGGCAGTCCCTTCCAAGGAGATGTCGATTCCTTTCTCCAACACCCACTACCGAATTCCACAAGGATTTGGGAATCTTCTTGAAGGGCTGACACGCGAGATTCTAAGGGAACAGCCGGACAATATACCAGCTTTTGCAGCAGCATATTTTGAGGACCTTCTAGAGAAAAGAGAGAGTAAGCTTTTACAAAATAAGTTGCACATTGTGGAAGGTTATTAGTATTAACCAGTCCCTTCTTGAATTCTTTGCTATCTTTTTTCCTGGAAACACTGGGTGGAAGGGACCAAAAAGGTCATACAGTCCACTCATACGATTGTGGTTTTTTAGGTGATTGTTCCCTCCACCTTCCAGGCAATTGACTATTTATTCTTCCTGGAAGAGAGTTTGTGGTTTTATTAAAATTTTTATTTTCAAAAAATAGTTCTCCACTCTTTAGACGAAATACATTGTTATTCCTTGAATGGCATGTGAAGCTGTTCTTCATTAAAGGTACATAGAGACTGGTTTGAGAAGTTCCTACTTAAGGAAGATGATCTAGACTATACTTCATCTATACTTCCAAGGTCCCATTCTGCCCAGAATCTAAAGTTAGTATATGCTAAAGTGCTGATTGAAAAGGGGGGGGGGTTTCCTTTACTTCCATAAGTAAAACTTCTGAATCCTTTGACTTGAAAGTTCACAGTTATCAGAATTTGACACAGTGGTCAGAATTGCCATTGTAACTTTAATACAAAAACCTTTTTGCCTAGAAATAGTCCTCCAGTCATCAGTTGTTCTGGTCAAAAATAAGCTATCCCCATCACTGTTTTTTAATTGTAGTGTTCCAATAGAGTGACAATAGTGACTATAAATATCTATGTACAAATAAATATTCCATTTTAAAGTATGCAGAGGGAGGAAACCTACCTTGAGGCTTGAATTCAAATGACTCCAATATATACAGTACACAATTATACCATCTCGGCTTCACCCACAGTTAGCAGGGCTCAGTCTCTCCTAGCTCGCTAAAGGTTGCTAATCTTTCAAATACCCAGTCAGTGTAACTACTGTATTGCACAGTTTGAAATTTCAAAGCCTGCCACCATTTTGATAAATGAGGTTTTTTTAGGGGATGCAGGTAACTAAGAGCAATTCAATCCATTGGGCTAAGAGGTAAGTTTTAATGAGCATTAATTTTGTTATTATAGCATTAATTTTACAAATTCATGCAATTTAAAGGCTTTAGTCATTTATTTTGGAACTCAGGAACATCCCATTACAAAACATTTGAGTCATTGTTACCCAATCATGGTAATTAGAGCAATTGGTAATTCAGATTAAAGGTCTCCAGATTCGAGCTTTTTAATAAACAATGGGTAAAACTATTTTTAAAATATTTAAGCACCACACCCACTTCTACCCAGGCCAAACATAAATTTTTCACCAAAAAAAAAAAAAAGTCACAGTTTCTACAAAAAAGGAAACAAAAGTCATTAAGGTCTTCTTGCTCCATCTCTTACAAAATTCCTCCTAGGTGATTGTTAGTCTTAACATTGATTTTTTTTTTGACAGGTAATATGTTAGTATAATGTATAAGTACTAAATGTTCAGGCCACATTAAAGACATTGGCAAAAAATAAGGCCCCAGGATGCAATACCAATTGACATGTTTCAACTTGTATGTGCCCACCAGTTTATGCTAGGAAATTTGGTGAACAGCTGTTTGACTGAATGATTGGAAGAGCCATATTTGTTCCCATTCCTAAAAGTGGTAATCCAACAGAATATGAAAATTATCCAACAATTAATATTACATACAAAGAAAATATTAGTGAAGATCATTCAAAAATGACTGAAACACAGAGAGCTGCCAGAAGATGAAGCTGGGTTTAGAAGAGGCCGTGGCACTGGGGATGTCATTGCTGATGTCAGATGGATCTTCGCTGAGAGCAGAAAATGCCACAATAATATCTATTTGTGTTTTATTAACTATGCAGAGGCATTTGACTGTGTGGATCATAAAAAATTAGGGCCAGCATTGAGGCGAATGGGAATCCCATACCACTTAATTATGCTGATACAAAACCTACACTTAAACTAAGAATCTGTTGTACAAATAGAAAGGGAACACTGCATGTTTTAAAACCAAGAAAGGTATGTGTTAGGGTGTCCTCACTCCTTACCTATCCAATCTGTACACTAAGCAAATCATTTGAGAAGCTAGACTCTGAAGAAGAATGTAGGTATGGAGAAAAGATTGAAATTGTCAACAATTTCATCTTGCTTGGAAGTCTGCTGACAGATTACTCTAAATTACTGAGGAGTAATGATGTTAGTTTGAATACTAAAGTGTACCTGATTCAAGCCATAGTCTTTTCAGTCACTTGCTATGCATCTAGAAGTAAATAAGGATGACAGAATTGACACCTTTGAGTTTTGCTCAAGAAGAGTGCTGGATAGCCCATGAACAGGCAAAATAACAAGTAGATATGTCTTGGGGAAAGTGCAGCCAGAGTCCTCCTTGTTAGCAAGGATGGCAAAGCTTCGTCTCGCATATTTTGGGTATGTTGCCATGAGAGGCTGTTCCTTGAGAAGAACATCATGCTTGGAAATGTGGAAGGTCAGCATGCTCCTTGGAGGCAAAGATGGGAAAGCTCCATTTCACATACTCTGGGCATGTTGCTAGGAGAAGCTATTCCTTGAAGAAGGACATCATGCTTGGGAATGTGGAGAGTCAGCATGTTCCTTGTAATCAAGAATGGTGAAACTTTATCTCACATACTTTGGGCATGTTTCGAGGAGAGGCTAATTCCTTGGAAAGGGACATCAGGCTTGGAAAGGTGAATGTTCAGCATAGGAGAGGAAGATCCTCAATGAGATGGATTGGCACAGTGACTGCAACAGTGGGCTCAAGTGTGTCAGAGATGATGACGATGGCACAGGATAGGACAAGGTTCAGATCTGTTGTTCATAGGTAGCCATGAGTCAATTCAACTGCACCTAACAACAGCTAGAGTCCTAGTTGGTAGAGTTGTACTGTCTTCCCAATGGCAGTCTGTTTGAATACTCCACCTGTTGATCAAGAGAATGATGGGCAATTTCCTCTTTTATAATTGGAAGAAAACCCACTTGGAAAATCCACTGAAGAGTCAGCTGTTTCCCAATTCTGACTTGATGATAATGAACTTGATTTTGAGTTTGATATTGTTATGTCACCTGCAAAATTTAACGACCGTAAGTACAATAGCTCTGAACCTTACCCTATCCTGAGCCAGTCTCACTGACTCTGAAACCCTACTTTAATTTTCCCAGTTACTGTGTCAATCCATCTCAATCAGGTTCTTACTCTCCTGCCCTCTCCCTCCACCTTTCCAAGCATGATGTCCTTTTCCAAGAACTGATCCTGCCTGGACACATGCCCAGAGAATGTGGGACAGAGCTTCAAAATCCTTGGCTCCAAAGACAAACCTGTCCTCTTAGTAGTTCATAGTGTGTTTAATACTCTTCTCCAGCACCACAACTCAACGGCATCAATTCTTCTATCACCCTTAGTCACTGTCCAGCTCTCTGATGCATAACAACTAATTGCAAAGGCCATGGTCTGGATCAGGCACACCTTCGGCTCTAGACTGACATCATTGCTCTTTAACACTTTGGAGAGGTCTCTGACAGCAGACTTTACCAATGTAATCTTTTCATTTCCTGACTGCTGGTGCTAACAGTGTTATGGTAGAGACAAGCTGAAACTTCAATCTCTTCTACAGCTATCACGATGCTTCCAATTGGCCCAGTGGTGAGAATCTTTGTCTTCTTTATGTTAAGCTTTAATCTATCTTAAAAACTACAGTACTCCTCAGTTTCAGCAAACAATGTTGTATCATCTGCATAACGCAGGCTGTTGATGGGTCTTCCTCCATCCCTGATGCCACATTCCTCTTCATAAAATCCAGCTTCCTGAATGATTTGTTCTGCATGCAGATTGAAATGATATGGAGACAGGCTGCATCCCTTACATACTTCTTTGCTGATTTTGAACCATGCAATGTTTCCTTACTCTGTTCTGAGGACTACTTCCTGTTGTGAATCTAGGTTTCACATGAACACAATCAAGGGTTCAGAGATTCACATTCTTTTCAAGGCTAGACATAATTGGTTGTGATCCGCACAGTAAAATGCATATCTTCAGCTATTTTTAGAAATGATTGTTAACTAATTATTTTTTTTCTGTCAAGTCAGTTCTGCTTCATGGTAATGCTGAAATACAGATAACTGTTCCATACAGATTTCTTGTCTATAATATTTACAGAGGCAGATCAAGATATCTTTTTTCAAGATATCAATAAATAAATTTAAACAACCAATCTTTAGGTTAGTTGTAGAACATAAAACATTTGCATTACAGACCCTCCGTGAGATTGACACAATTACAGCAGCCATGGGCTCAAGAATGTCAGAGATGTTGAGCATGGCACAGGATAGAACAGAGTTCAGAACCGTTCATAAGTCACTCTGAGTGGTACTCATCTATACCTAACAACAAGTGACCTTGTAATATTATCGTATGGTTATTCTGAAGTTTTATGACCACAACAATTGGGGGGGGGAGGATCCAAGAATTAATGGAATACCAATTGAAATATTTCAACAAATAAATGTACCCTTGGATGTGTTCACTAGGTTGTGCCAAGAAATCTGGAAGATAGCTACCTGCCCAACTGACTGGAAGAGATTCCTTTTTATTCTTATTCTCAATAAGAGACGATCCAACGGAGTATGGCAGTTAGGCAACAATATCACATGCAAACAAAATCATGCTGAAGCTTATCTAGAAACAACCAGAACAATACATTGACAGAGTGCTGCTAGAAATACATGCTAGGTTTAGAAGAGGTCATGGTATCTGGGATGACATCACTGATGTCATATGGATCTTAGCTGAAAGCAGAGAGTACCAGAAGGATGTCTATTTGTGTTTTATTGACTATGCAAAGATATTTGAGTATCACAACAAATTGTGGCTAACATTGAGAAAAGTGGGAATCCCAGAACACTTAATAGTCTTTATATGAAACCTACACCTAGATAGATCAAAGGAACATTGCTTGGTTCAAAATCAAGAAAGGAGTGGATCAGGGTTATATCCTTTTTCCATACCTTTGTAATACATACCTTGAAGAGATCATTTGGGAGGCTGGA